GCTCGTCTCGGCTGCTACTCTCCTCGTCGTTGTTGCTGTTGCTGCTTTTGTTGTCGTCGTTGTCATTGTCGCCGACGGCGTTGATGCTGCTGTTGCTGCTGGCGTTGAGGGCGACGATGTCGTCGTTGCTGCTCTCCCCGCGGTCGTCCAGGGCCGCAGCTTCTTCGTCGGCGCTGCCGCTGGCAAAGGGCTGTGATGACGATGAAGCAGAAGAAGCCCGTTCGCGCGAGCGCGCCGAGTTGAGGCGGCTGTGGTGCTTGCCCAGCTTGCCGCCTTGGTTGAGCAGCGCCTCCTTCTCCACGCGCTTGAGGAACCAGAACTCCATTTCGACGGGGTGTGATGGTATGTGCTTCCTACGATGGGGGGGGGCAAAATATACAACATATGAGACGCAGCACGGCACGACACGACACGCACGACACGCACGACACACGACACGACAGGAGATGAGACTGGAGAACCTGCACATGGCCTTCCACAGGGCATTGTCGTTGGTGAGCTCGTTCAGATGTCGGTTGAGCGGAGGGACGCGACGCAGCAGTTCCTTCGGCCCCAGAAACTGGAGGATGTGCTGCAGTATCTCTGGATGCGTGCACGACGCCATCAGTTCAAGAGCACCAGACACGACACAACACGACACGACACGCACGACACGCGCATTTCCTGTACACCACAAGCGGAGTGGCATACCGGGAGGGAGGACACCCAAGAAGCCGAGGGAGTTGGTCGCCACGTTCAGTCGATGCCGCTCCTGTTGCCGGCCCAACGATTAACGGCTGGGGAGGGAGATGGATGGAAACAGGCAAAGGAAAGAAGAGGGGAGGCCGTTGTTTCTGCGTACAGAGAAGAGGATGTAGTGCTCAAAGTTCTGCATCAAGCGGGCGATGTGGGCCGAGACGTTCTGCATCTCGAGCACGAGATCGACCATGGACTGAACGAACGCGGCCTGCCAGTCGAGCTTGAACGATCGCACGATGTAGGACAGGAATTCATCCGCCTCCCTGTGTATGCCCTGGAGCTTGGCTTGCGCCTGTCCCAGGTTCTCCATGCCGTACAGCCCCTCCAGCTGCTGGCCCAGCCCCATCTTCTCTCTCGCCTCGAACAATGCACCCAAGACTGGATCCGAATGGGCCGATGGGAAGGAGAATCTCCTCCTCTGCTCCTCCATCCCCTCGAAGAGTACCCAAGCTTCGTCCTCTTCTCGTAGTACGATCAGTTATCAAATCGTTTGTGTTGTAATTCGTGCAAACTCCTTTTTCTTGTATTTCTTTTTGTATTTATTTATTTCTTTATCCACAAAATATATATTTGTTTAGCTGGTGGACAGGGTGGGGAGGTCCGATGAAGAGGAAGGAGGGAAAGAGAGGCAGAAGAACGGATCGTAGTTGGTGGAACCGGCCTCGTTGAAGTAGCCCGCCTGGTTGCTGGCCACCAACGTAGAGCCCACCTTCTGCGTCGAGCTCCAGTGCTAACATACAGCGACAACACAAGTGCGACGTCGGTTGGTGAAGGTAAGGCGAATAGATTGAGGAAGAAGAGCGTGGACGTACGGTGTGACCGAAGAGCCAGGCCACGACGGGGTCGCCGAACATGGCCGCCAGATCGGAGGCGTAGATGCTGGTCATCACCGACCGTGTAAACTTGGGGCTCGAGGTCTTTTCGAAAGTAGGCGCGTGGTGCGTCAGGACGACCACCTGCGGCACAATGACGATGCTACATCGTCAGCCGATAAACCTCACTGAGAGACCCATACAGAGACATCAACGTCACGAGCCAGAACCTTTTCGCCGCGTTCCACCGCCATGGCCAACTCCTCCTTGAGCCATGCTACATCTGGTAAACCATGGAAGACGTGAGGTGAGTACAAGCCACTGCGTGTGTGCGTGCGTGCGTTTGAGCTCACCCGCTTCATGCCAACCAACTGAGTCTCGCACGGTCGACTTCCGCTTTTGGCCAGTCTCAGCGTCAATCACGAATATCTTCTTGTAGTCGCTGCTTGATTTCTGTGCGATTGGCATGTCCGTGCGGTGAGCGATGTTGGCAATACAAAAAGCCACGAACTGGAGACCAACGAAATGCCAGGAGGAGGAACCTCGATCAGGGCGGCGTCGGGCGTGTCTACGGGAATGTGAGACCAGAGCGTACATCCCAGAATGCGGTAGCCCTGTGGAGCGTGAAGCCGAGGTAGACAGTCATGAATGTCATGACGATCGATACTCGTGATCTGCATAGTCAACAAATGATTCGAATCACGATACCTTGTACAGCAGACTCGTTCGGTCGAGAAAGTGGAGGTTGTTCTTTGGCGCTTCACTGCAGATGCTGCGGATGCGGGCCTTGGTCTCGTCGTAGTCTGGCGTGACTGAGCCCACACTGAACGAACATATATATGACCGGTGAGCCGGGCCAGGTGGTGCGGTCTCTTACTTGTGGGCCACAACGTACGCGTAGAACTCGTGGTTGCCCGCCACCACGAACACGGTCTCAAACCTAACGGTGGCCCATCATGAGGGGTCAATTTTAACAAATCACAGATATGGCACGCAGGTGTGTGGTGGTGGTACCTCTCGGCCTGCTGCAGAAGGAACTCCCTGTAGGTGTCCCTGGTGGGATACCCTGTCGCAACAAGATGACGACCCACGCACGCACGCTGTTAGCCATCTCGTCTCGTCACGACACGACAAGCTCAAGGCTGGCTGCATACCAATGTCTCCCAACAGCGCCAGGCACTCGCCTAGCACAGGGATCTCGCCTGGCACCCCGCCAACACGCCCACCAAACAAACATCAGCGCCAAAAGGCCGTTGACAAAGCTTGCTGGCTTTCGAGCGTTGTGCGCACCCCCAGGCGCGTTGTACTTCTCCAGCAGCAGCTCTTGAAACCTGGTACGTGTGGAGTAGTGTGTTAGCACCTTTGGAGAGAGGTAAATGGAGAGGTTTGTATTTTGGGGGGGGGGAACCGGGTGAGGCCGAACGAGCCCACAAAGGCCTCCAGATGCAAGTCGCTGGCCAGCTGCAACCGCCAGCCTCCTGTGCAATGCCGTGGGTCGTCGGGTTAGTGTAGTGTTCAATCACTCGCCGCTCAACTCTCCACGCTCGCACCTGCCGTGTCGTGCGTCTCCATGTTGTCTGTTCTTTTTTAGGTTTCCTTCTCTTCCTTGAAGGTGGGCGTTTGTTGTCGACCGTCAACAAGCACAGCTCAAGCAGCAAGCGCGCAGGTCTGTTGAGTGGTGGCGGTGGGTTGGCTAATTCCCACGCATTTTGTAAGATGTGACAGAGGCGGCAGCCTGCGGGAGGAGAGGCTAGAACGCCAGCCTGCAGCACAGCAAGATGCCCAAGAGGAAAGCGGGATGCGAGAGAAGAAGCAACGAGGACGGTGACGCAGTTGCTGAAGGCGAGGGGAGAAAGACGAAGCTGAAATCGGAAAATGAGATTAAATTGCGAGTAGCGGCTCAAGTGGAAGATAAGGACGAAGACAGGACCTACTCGAGGAGTACAAGCACCTTACGAACGACGTGTTCGCCGAGGCACGCAAGCATACCGGCACCGCCACCCGCTGGCCCATTCGCCTGAACCACTGCTTCCAGCGCATCATACTCGACAATCTCTTCCAGGACGTGTGGTACCCCCATCTCTCTATCGATGGCGAGGACGGAAGCAAGCCACCGAAGGGCGGCGCGATGCATCGGCTGCGCATCGATCAACTCCGACTTAGTCGGAGCGCTGGAAATTGGACGCCAGATGCTCGAAGGTGGCGCCCCCATCATTCGCGAACTGAACGAGCGCTCTCTGGCCTGGCGCGGCAAGCAACGACGTGGAAGACGACACGAAGCCGACCAACAGCCAAAGCAAAGGACTCCAATAGCAGAAGATAAATAAATGGCTCGCAACTGTTGCAGCTGCAATCTCATGAGCAGCAAGTAGCGTCGGGTCGTTAGAGACGGGAGAGGCCAGAGTCGGGTCGCTCTTCCTTCACCAGCGCCGAGATAGCCTAGCATGCACAACACGATCAGCTTCTGGAGAAGACGAACACAAAGTCGTCGTTTGGTTTTAGATGCTCACCTTGAATGAGGGGTGCTCGGCCGACTGCATGAGCTGGAAGAGCGCACTCTCGCTGGTGGTCACGTAGGCACCCGCCTGACTGAAACGCTGGAGCGCCAGCAGCCGGTCGGCTTGGCGCGAAGACGAAGTGCCATCGGCCAGCACGTGCACGTTGTACCCACCCTCGAGCAGGTCCTACACACATACACACACACGCACACACGCAGAGTCAGGCACCAACACGCGCACGCCAAGAACGCGCGAAGAGGTGCGACATACCAGCACAGTCTGCAGCACGCACACATGAGCCTGCAGTGTCGTGTCGTTGGCGCGCGAGAAAGGTGAGTCGGTCAAGCTCTCGCGGAAATAGCTCTGTAGGAGGGACGCACCTCGATGCCGAGAAGGAGGACGTCCTTGCGCTCGGGGTGGTCGCGCTCGAGAGTCTGGCGGACCTCATCGGTCAACATCGAGAACTTGAGCTTCTCAAACACTCGCACGCCCTCCGTTTCGTCCACGCCCAGCTCCGACGCTACACACCACACACCACGGCACGTGCTCAGTGGCTACGGTGTTAGACCCCCTTGACGTCCTCAGTCATGGTGCGGAAAGAGGAGAGAACTCACCGGTGCGACCGAGGCGCTTGGGGTTCTGCTCGGTCACCAGCACGGGCACGCGAAGAAGGGGCGCTGCCTTGACCTGCACAGACGCACCAATTCAGGATTGATTTTTACACCCAAGTAGGAGGATTGATTTTTTACCATCGTACGAGCAACGTGAAGCACGGAAGGCATGTGGGTGATAACAGAGCGAAAGCGCTCCTGCACGTCGCACACCATCAACACGGACGAGTGGGCTTGCAACTTGCCGAGCCTTCGCACCTGCTGCATCTTTTGGATTTACCTTTTTGTTCTCATTTTTTGTGACACATTATTTTCATGATTTAAACAAAAAAAAAGGCGTGAGAAGGCGTGAAAGATGTACGCACCACTTGGGCAGCCTCGAAAGACCATCAACTGGCGTTTCTGCGTGATGGAGGGCTTGATCAGGACTCTGTTGCTCATCGTCACTTGCTCAGCCTTCTTCTCGTCCTTCAGTACGTGGCCCACCGCTGTGGGCTTGAACTCTCCTTCTTGCTACTGACCCTTCTTCTTTACATCATTCAGGCTACGTGATGGAGCAAAAGACGAAAGGCTATGAGTTGGCCACATGTACAGTTGTGGAGGCGTTGGTGAAAGAGGAGCTCTGTGTAGTAAAGTCGTCCATCCACACCTGTTATTCAGCACAATGGAAGGTGCCACCGCCCATACCCACCAGCCATGGACGATGGCAGCTGATCCCCTGCGTGTCAGGTATCATACGAGAGTGGAGAGGGCGTGGTGCATTCCCAGATTGGAGATCGTAACAGGACGTTCTACGATCATGCACACAACTCGTTAGCCCTACACCCTGTACATCACCTCATCCTGTGTGGTGTAGACCAGAAGCCTTGACCTTACCACGTCAACAGAACGGTACGCAAGCAGCGTGTTGGCATAGCCCAACACAACTTACAACCATACAGTGGACCCAGCCCCACCCAGAGAGGTGGTTTGTGCTGATGGTGGTCGGGTGGTGTCTGGCCGCCCTGCTGGGGATGGTGCTTGTGGTCCTGCACTGGCGCACCATCACCGAATCATTCCATTCCTGTTCTGCCTGCAAGAGTGGTGTGCCTGATGAAAGCCCAGAGCTTTGGCTGGAACAACTGTGAGCAGCGTGTGAATAAATGGAAATTGGGGGGTCATCTCAAGTGTGCACCGGAGACACCAGGGATGGTGAGAAGTATGGCCAAGATAAGGGAACGATAATCAAGGAGATTTATTGTCTGCATTGAACTGCCTTTGTGTCACAGAGATCAGGGAGTGGAAGGCCGGTGAAGGTTGGTTCACAGCAGAGAACTGCCTGGGTTGACGAGAGATTGTAAGTGAACTTGGTCGAGTTATGTCTTTGATAGGCAAAATGATAGTAGCGAGCAGCAGTGTTTTCAGTTTGCTAGAGTAAGTCCACATCGTGATTGTGTCATATTCGGACAGGGATAACTATAAATTACATCCTTTCATGCTGCGCGTTCGACATCCGAGAAAAGGAGCACAAGTATCTTGTCACGGGGTCAAATACCTTAATTGGTGGACGTCTGGGGTCGGTAGATATTGATAGCGGTCACAGCTGGGCTTGCATGGGCGAGTGAACGAACGCCTATTGAGAAAGAAGCATGATCTGCAGCAAACAAAGAAGATGAGCGTGGAGTCGAAGAGTAGTGATGAAGAGAAAAAACAAAGAAGATGAGCGTGGAGTCGAAGAGTAGTGATGAAGAGAAAGAGAGTGCGAATGCTCTTCATCGAGTGTGTAACACAGTGTGAATCATGAATTTATCATACTACTCCGGAAAGATAATCATCAGCAATTCTACCAGCACTTGAGGGGAGAGGACGGGGTACCGGGAGTGTGGTGAGCTTTGCCTATGAGGAAAACTGGAGTCTCAAGGCTGGCCGTCTTATGTCTGAGCGTGGTGGAGGTGATAACTCGTGCGTGCAGCACGCACAGATAAAAAAAACAAGGAGATTAGCGAGGTAAGCACATAAACACAGGCAGGTGGGGCGGGGCGGGTCGAACCGTGGGAGAGGCCCACGAAAGACGAAAGTCGGGGTGTTTCGGCTGTAGCGGAGACCTGTTAATGGCGGACAGAACGCGGGTGCTTCCGAGTTGCGAGGGAGGTTGGATGCGGAGACGGTGAGCTCATCGAATGATGCAAGAGCGTGGATAACGCCAGTAGTAGCGGAGACGTTGTCGACCTTTGATGATCATGCGTACTTGACCTGAACACTAGTTGATGCTCCACGCCCCCCCGGGGGGGGCAGTGGGAGCGGAAGAGAAGGAGACGTGCATCATTAGCATCCCATTCACAGGCAAGAACGAAAAGCGAAAAGCGAAAGCGAGAGGTCGGGAGGGGGGGGGAGACGTAACCGGTAATCTGCTCCTCCTCTTCGCACACTTCTCGTTTCGTTGTTGATGGTGGTGGTGGTTTGACTTGGCCTCGTCATTCCGTTCAACTCGACTGCGACGTGCGCGAAGAGGAGCCCGCGTCTAACGGATGTGGTACATCCTCGACGAAGCCGCGGCCTTCTCCTCGCTCTTGGCCGAGGCGGCGGCGGCGGCGGTCGACGAAGCGGCCTTGGTGGTGGCGGTGGGCCACACGTTCCAGAAGCGGAGGCGCTCGTCGCCGGCGCCCGAGACGATGGTCTGGCCGTCGGGGCTGAGCGACATGAAGAGCACGCGCGACGTGTGCCCGTGCATCTCGCCCACCTTGGCCATGGTCGGGTACTTCCACACGGCCAGCTGGTTCTGCGAGTAGCCGTGCGACGACACCAGCTCCTTGTGCGTGCGCGACCACACGAGTCCGCACACCTGCGACCCGGTGTCGACTGAGTTGACGCACGCGCCGCTGCGCGTGTTCCACATCTTGATGCACCGGTCGGCGGCGCCGCCGCCCGAGGCCAGCAGGCCCGCCTGCCACGGGCACCAGGCCACGGCCTTGACGGCCGACGTGTGGTGGTCGAGCCTGAAGCGCGCCTCCGTGCGGCCCTCGTCCCACACGTTGAGGATGTTGTCGTTGCCGCCCGAGGCCAGCTGCGTGCCGTCCTCGCTCCACTTGAGGCCGCACACCTCCTGCGTGTGGCCCTCGAGCACGGCGATCTGGTGCTGCGCGAGGCGCACGTCGTGGTGCATGATCGTCGTGTCGCGCGAGCCGCTCGACACGATGGCCCGGTTCCACGACAGCGACGACACGCGGTCCTGGTGGCCCTTCATGGTGCGCACCTGCCGGCCCTTGGCCACGTCCCACAGCTGCACCTCGTTGCTGTTGGTTCCTGCATAATAATATAGAATATAGAAAATATAGAAATATGAAGGCAATGGTAAGAGAAACATCGAAAACATGCTGATGAAGGGGGGTGGAAGCAGTGGTGCGTGGTGGGCGAAGGTACCAACAGCGAGGATGTTGCCGTCGGCCATCCACGACACCGAGGTGATGTAATCGTCGGCGTCGGTGTCGGGCATCTCGAAGAGCATGTCGATGTCCGACGTGGTGGCGTTCCACAGGTAGAGGCTGCGGTCGAGCGCCACGGCGAGCGTGTTCTGCGCCGACCAGTCGAGCAGGTTGAGGTAGTAGTCGTCCCTGATGCCCGGCGCGTCCAGCACCTTGTCCGCCACCGACGGCAGCCTGCGAGTGGAGGAGGTGGAGGAGGTGGAGGCGGTACCCTTGGCGGCGGCCTTGTTGGCGGAGTAGAGGGTGCGCATCTGGTTCTGGAAGGAAGCGCTCGCGGCGGGCGCCTTGTGCTTGAAGGCCAGCACCTTGGTCGACTTGACCGCGCTCGCGTCACCGCCGAACATGGCGTCGGAGAGCGACGACTGGAAGCGCTCCTTGGCCGGGCTCGCAATCTGGACCTGCTGCTGCTGCACGTTCTCCTTGGAGGAAGACGAAGAGGTGAGGTTGAAGTGGGAGATGTCAAAGTTGATACCGTTGCGGTCGGGGATGAAACGGTCTCCGGTCATCATCTTGGCGGTGTTCATCTTGTTGTGGGGATTGTGGTGCTTTGTGAAAGCGAGTTGTGGGGTGTGGGTATATCAAAGTCTCAGGGAGGCTTGGAGAAAATGGACGGCGAGCGTTGGGTTTTGTTGTTTGCGTTTCTCCGTCTCCCGACCGTTAGGCCAACGACTAGTTTTCACAGCCCAATCACAATTCACTGTGCTTTGTGAAAAGACAACGAAAACTGAATTTCTCCGTTTTTTTCGCTTCCCGCCAAAACGTTCTGGTTGTCTGATCTTGATCATCAGATGTTGGAAAGAGAACAAATTTGTGGACTGTTTTTGACACAGCCCTTGCACAGGCGCACCTTGGTCAACAAGCCACTGGATGTAGGTTGTGGTGTAGTTGCAGTGGATGGTGTTGTAGCTGGCCAGGATGCTGAAGTCGTTGAGGAAGAGCGGCACGCTGGGCGCCAGCTGCTGGGCCAGCTTGTAGTATTCAACAATGCTCTGGTTGCTGAGGAGTCCATCCACTCATTGAACCCCCAGAGCTGTGATCAGACCTGGTGTTTGCAGTTTGTGTGCGTGTTGTGTTGTGTCAAGTGGTGTGTTGCGTTGAGCCATGACCAATCAAGAAGGTGCAAGGTTGTTAGGTGAGGCTCACCTTGGACGTCGTAGTTGGAATTGGGTTCGTTGATGACGTCCCATTGGTAGCACTGGCCCCTGGTCGGATTGAGTTCATTGGCGAAGTGGTCGCGGATGAAGGCGTCGAGCTGGGCTGCGTCGAGCCCCTGGGCAGCCGGCGGCATGAAGCGATAGCTTGGCCACAGCAGGTTGTGGCCTCTCATCAGTATGCTCGCGTTGGCCAGCCACTCTAGCGCAGTCAGCGCCCGGTCGGGGTTTGCCATCCAGCCCGCCCACTTCAGATCATTCTCCAGCACCATCGAAATGTTCCTTCACCTTGTCTGTTGTTGCGGCGCACACGGAGTGAGCGTGATGATGACCACACATGACAACATCAGAAAACAAGTCAGCCTGGTGGTGGATGTGAAGGTACCGGCGTAGGTAGGGTTGCTCGACAGGAGCGACGCCCTGAGGGCCGACCCGAACCCGAACCGGTGGCGCTGCTGATAGACGTTGACGAGCGCGCCCTTGACGGGCCGCCCGTTGATGTCAACCACGGGGATCGAGAGCCGGGTCGTGCGGGTGGTGTTGATCCGGGCCTGGGCCTCGGTGCGCCACGCGGCCGTCGGGTCGTCGCGCTCGGGGTAGTAGAACGCGGCGGCGAGGGTCGAGGGGTCCGTCACGCCCGCGCTCGCACAGCTGACCAGCGACACGTTGGCGATGATGAACGATTGCTGCTTGATGGCGTAGGAGAACGCCACCTGGCCGTTTCCCCGACCTAGAGTGGTGGCCGCGCGCAGCGGGATCGAGTAGGCGCACCACTTGTCGGCGGCCGTGATGTCGCAGGGGAACGATGCCGCCAACGAACTGTAGGAAGTCCCATTGCGCACCAACTGGAAGAATAAGAAAAGAACAAATAATATAAATTTCGATATTAAATATTAATTAGAATTCGTATTTTATGTACCGCTGACCCAGCCACGGCGGGGCTGCCGGTGACGTTGTTGGCTCGGACGAAGAAGGACAGGACGAGCAGTTCACCACTTCGGGCGAGATGGCGAACACGAGTTGCGAGGCCCAGCTTTGGAGGCCTTCGCGCACGGGGGGCTGATCGACGGAGCCGCTGGCCCACGGCCTCACCGTGGCGCCGGCCTAGCTGGTCGGGCGCGGCGAAGCAGCCGGGGAGAGGAGCGAGGTCGTACACCGCACGCTGCCGCCTCTGGCCGACGCGGCGCAACCGACAATTCCAACCAAGAAGAGGACCACCACGACCCTTGTGGGCACCATCGATGAAGGAAGAGTTGTGGTTGTGGTGTGGTTGTGGTCGCAATGTCCAATTGCCGGCTTAGCATTAATGTTATACAGTGCTGCACTACTACGGAGCACATATGAATTAAGGCAACCACTGTTGTGGACCACATCCCAATCAATTGTGATAGGACAAAGGGGGACTCTCTTAAGGTTGCAGTCCACACCGACAAAAATAAATAAAACAAAAAAATGACAAAAAAAAAGGTCAGTACGATGGCAGCGAATTGGCGGCACCAGAAGGAGGAGCGGGAGCGGTTGGCCAGGGAGCGTGAGGAAGAGGAGCGTCGCAAGAAGGAGCAAAAGATAAAGCAGCTGCTTCTTCACGCCCCCACCCCCTCCGGCAAAACCTCCTCCCCTCACCTTTCTTCTTCTTCTTCGTCCCCTGCCACTGCCCAGCCACTGCCCCGGAGCACTGAACCCGAAAACGCGGCAGCCCATCACCCACCGGCGAAGAATGACGCGGACGAACACAACAAACACGGTGTGGCGGCGGCGGCGGCGGCGGAGGTGGGCAGCAGCGGGTGGACCAAGCCCGTGGCCGCCCAGTCATCCGGCCCAGACACCCACCGCGCCAAGCCCTCCTTCCTTGGCCAGGTCCTCCCCTCTTGTCGCTTTCGCTCTTTATCATTAATTCTATTATTGTTACCTAAAATAGAAAACCAAAATCAAAAAACAATTTTTAATTAAAAAAATCGTTATGATATTTTATTTTTTTTTCTATAATATTGACCGTACCGTAGGAGAGAGGACACCATCAACAGCAACAGCAGCTCGTAGTGGAGGCAAATGAGGTGGAAACGATCGAGGCGTTGAGGGCGCAGCTGGCCAAGCGGGACGAAGAGGTGCGGATGCTCAAGGAGGCCTACAAGGAGCGGATGCGGGAGAAGGAGGAGGAGTTCAAGCAGCGGTGGGCGGCGCAGAACGAGGCCGAGGCGCTGGCGCACAAGCTCAACGAGGCCGAGAGCCGGGCCAAGGCCCAGGAGGCCGAGGCCAAGCGGCTGCGTGAGCAGGTCCACCAGCTCGAGCTCCTCGTCCGGTCCCTCAAGAAGGACAAGAAGCACCACAACAAGGCGCCACGCAAACACATCAACAAGCACCATCACACCAACACCACCGATGACGACACACACAGGTCCGCGCACGACACTCGCGCATCGCACACGCACGCACGCACGCCGCACACGCCACACGACACGCGCTAAGTTGGGCGAGGTGTGGTGCGGGGCAGTCAGGGAGGAGATGGTGGGCAAGAAGGTGATCGCGCTGTACAATTTCAAGGGCAACGAGGCCGACGGCGAGCTGTCGTTCGTGGAGGGCGACGTGATCGAGGTGCGGGCGCGGGTCAACGAGGGCTGGTGGGAGGGCCGGCTCACCAACGGCGACCTCGGGATCTTCCCCTTCAACTACGTCCAGCCGCTGGTCATCTTCTCATCGCAGTCCTCCACCAGCGCCGCAGCCGCCGCCAGCCGCGTCGAGCACAGCGAGGCCCACGACGACGACCACCAGCGCCGTCATGGCCAACATCACCACCACCACCACCATCATGAGGAGGGTGAAGATGAAGACGATGATGAAGACGATAGCGAGGAGGATGTGGCGCCGGCCCACCCGAAGATGTCGACGCTCGAGAAGGCGGCCTACGCGAAGAAGAAGATCGAAGAGAAGTACAAGGAGCTCTCCAAGTCGCTGCTCGGCCCCACCCCCGCCGTACGTCCGCATGTCGTGTGCATTCGCGTATCGCAAGCGCGTGCTCGGCTCATGGTCTCACACAAACGCACAGGAGATGGAGAAGGCAGTCGATGATCATCACCAGCACGCGCACACCGGGCCTGAAGCCGATGCTGCGGCTGCCATCGATCATGAAGAGGCAGATGCACCAGTTGAGATGACGACCACCGAAGGCGACACAGGGAACACGGAGGGGAAGGAGGAGAAAGCGGAGGAGCTGCAGAGCGGCGTGGCACTGTTCGACTTCGAGGCTCAGAACGAGGGCGAGTTGAGCTTCAAGAAGGGCGACCAGGTCCTCGTTTTGCCGCTGACGGACCCCCAGCAACACGGCCAGCAGCCCGAGGGCAACGGCGCCGGCGAGTGGCGCTACGGCTATGTTGGCGACCACGAGGGCCACTTCCCCACCAGCTATGTCTCAATCTCTGCCACCCACACCAGGGACTGATGGTATACTGGTGTTGGGTTGGTGGCTCTCATTCAGGGATAAAGGTGTTCTGGCCTCTGTCTTGACCTCTCCACTGTAGGAATCCCTTCTGATTCTGTGTGATCAGCACCAGGGAATGAATGACCTGTCTCCATGTTAAGTTGGCTATGGCGTGTCCACCCAAAAAACTGTAAAAGCAACTGTTTGTTGTTTTCAAGCAATAGCCAAGTAATTGGCACTCGCTACTTGTTGTTATCAGTGAGAGTGAACCATAATGTTCTTGGTCTAAACCACAATACACTTCCCCTGACAGCACTATTCTCGCTCTAACATCTCCCAAGTCAAAACAGGATTTATTGCAAACACTTCAGAATCTGGGTTTGGACCTCCTTGGGTTGGAGCTGGGCTAATCAATGAGGGCACAGGTGAGGACTTCCCTGAGGACAGTGAGGAAGGCGAAGACACTGCGCTCGTCAGGCTTGAAGTCCTTCTTCTTGAGGTCGGCTGGCAGCAGGATGGGCGTCACCCCAAAGTTCTCTGCTAGCAGCGCCATCACGTAGTCAATGCGGTCGTCTCCCTGGTTCTGCACAATCCACCAAAAGGGTGCCAAGAGAGCACACACACACACGTGTGAGTGCGACACAGCACACGCCATAACACACAACGCGCGCAGAGACACGTACCAAGGCAGCGTTGTAGTCGATCATGTCAGGCCGGTATTTGTGGAGAAGCGCGCAGAAGCCCAAACCGTCCTGCCAACTGCGCACACGTAGCGTCAGCGTTGGTCCGCAGGGTGTGTCGTGTGTGCCGCGTGGTGTGTGTGCGTTCTGCGTTGTGTGCCGCGTGGTGCGCTGTGTGTGCGGTTTGGCGGGCGATGGTGACGGACCTGAGGTCGAGGTTGTCGATGCGGACGGACGGGTAGCCCTGGACCTGCTGCTGGCACCACTGCAGGAGCAGCTGCTTGGCCTTCGTCTCAGTCGTGTTCTGCGCGTCGAACGGATGCACCGACGACACCGAAATGATCGACCTACGAAGATGATGATGACGACGGTGATGAAAAATGAGAACGAGACACGAGACACGAGACACCCGACCACACACACCCGACCACACACACACAACACACAACACACAACACACAACACACAACACACAACACACAACACACAACACACAACACACAGGAAAGCAACGTTATACCAGATGATGGCAGAGATGACGTTAACGTTTCCGTCGAGGATGTCTTCGGGTCCGTAGCCGCGCATGTTCATGCCCTTGCTGCGCAACCAGTTCATGGCCTTGTTCACGTTTTCCATCTTCTCGAAAATCGTCATCTGTAACCGCACACGCACACACGACACGCACACGCACACGACACACGACACGCACACACGACATGACACGACACGCACACAACGGGGAGCAAAGTGGTGTGAAAAGAAGGGCCTCGAGTTCGGTGATAAAGTGCGCGCGTACCTCGGGCTTGTCGGAGCAGATGCCGATCGACTCGCCCGTGAGCACTTGGAGCAGATTGATCAGCAGCACGCCGTCGCACATGTCCTTGCTCATGTCCTGCGCCGGCACACACACCGTGAGCGTGGCATATGTCGTGTCGTGGAGACATGTGTGTGTGTGTGTGTGTGTGTGTGTGTGTGTGTGTGTGTGTGTGTGTGTGTGTGTGTGTGTGTGTGTGTGTGTGTGCATGTGTGTGCGTGTGTCGGCAGGCGCACCTCGATGAAGTACTGGATCTTGGCGAGGTGGTAGTCGACCCAGTGGGTGTAGGCGTGCTGCTGCATCGCGCGCATGTGGTTGCGTTCGGCAACTGACACCTCGCGCCTCACCTTCGACGCCTGCATCGCCGATTGCATCACCGACGACTTGGCCAAACGCGCCTGCGCGGTCGTGTGTGTGTATGTGTGTGTGGTGTGTGCGTGTGTGTGTGTGGTCGCGTGTGTGCGTGTGTGTGCGGTCGTGTCGTGAGCTTTGGCTGGAGACGGGCTGGACGTGCGGAGATTGGTACCATGTTGAGGCCGGCCTCGCCGCCGAGGACGAAGGAAGGCTTGAAGGAGGGGAGAGCGGAGGAGGGCGTGGCCGCGCGCTGCTTCTCCTGCTCCTGCTCCTCCGTCTCCTCCACCCAACCCTTGCGCATGTTGGGCTGCACGCGCACACACATTCGAATTCAGCACTCCACGACACACACACACACGACACAC